ACGATTTGGCGTTCCCATACGGTGTACTGAGAAGTTTCCTGAGCAAGAGAATTAGTCACGTGGGAAGGGGCGGGCGCAACAACAACTCTGACGACAGCGGGCATAATTGTCGCGCAATTATCAGGCCCGCATCCGACGCCGACGAGGTAACTGTGGCAATTAGTGAGTCGAACGCGAAGTTTCAATCCTGTACCGAATCAAGTAAGACCCAAACAGTGGCTACAGAAGTGAACAATTATCCCAGCTTGTTAATTTCTCATCAGAAGCTCAATAGATCGCACTTGCACCAGTCACTATCACCCAGACTTTTCTCGCACGGGGTTGTAGGGTGACACAGCCCGTAAGAGTACTTGCTTCGAAGGCCCATCTGCGAGTATATGACGTGGACTATGACGATGACACATACCCTGGCTCGCTGGCAGCGGCATGCCATCAAATAGACATGCGCTTAGGTGTTACAACACACTCGCATATTTGCAGTCCTATATAAGTCCCACAGGTCGGCTGCGGAACTACACTTTCATTACAAGCAACGACCAGCGGACTCCGAGTGACGCCTCCGAGATGAGCTTTTTCTCAAATAAACCACGCCCTGCCGAAATTGTGGAGCGCAGTGAGTTCACGTCTTTTCTATCTTTGTTCTGTTGCGACTTCCTAGCGGATCAATAGATTACACTATCCTTAGTAGCTGTACGAGAGGCAGGCAAGTAACTCTGTCTGAGACTGTAGGACATTTGAAACAGCGCAGCCTTGCTGATCAGCACTTGTGATCTTCATCGAAGGATATAATTCTTGTTGAGGAAAGTCAGGAGCAAGTGGTTTTGTACTTATTCTGGGGGCGGATCTGCCTCTCCGGTGATGATGCTGTCTCATGAAATGTAATCGAACTTCTGAAATATGTTTCTGATTCGAAAAGAGTACTTAATTAGAGTTTTCGTACCTATCATTATTCAGCACACGTTCAAGATTTTTCCGTGATGTCAGGGTGCCAGCCTTTAATTTGGCCAGGTTTTGGGCACCGGCAACAAATAAATGCTGCTAAAAAAACTTTGTAAGTAGTAGTATTTTCCCGTTTATTTTTGATGTTCTTTTAAATTAAAATATATTGTGAGAGAGTACAGACAAATATATTTTTCCTCGTTTGGTCGTTAGTCAAAGGTTGTGCTTAAAGACATGGTATCATTTTAATTTTAACATATTTCTAACTATGGGACATTTTAAGGACCAGTGTCTGTCCATTCATCCAACAATTTCTGCTCATTCATTAATCTGCCGATAAAGTATAAAGCACGTAACCTTAACCGCATCCATTACAATCACATGACTACTTCCTAACAGTACAGACAATATTTTATTGTCAACCCTGAATGCAAGTGTAACGGCACTTCGCGTGGAAAATTATTCGGGAATCGCAATAGGTGTTAAAGCTGTCGGATATTGCTTTTACAACTCGGACATTTTAAGATGAAAAGTATCACCAAACAAGTAAAATTATTCATGCTTTTCATAATAGATAACTAACAAACCACTTACAGCGAACGATCTTCCTCATTCTGAGTGATTTTTTGTACATATTTGTTATAAAATATATTTGAATTTTTGAGATTACTCTAAATGAAGGAGAACTGTTACACTATTTCACTGATCATGCCCTAACAGGGTACTGTCTTAAATTGGTCGGAAAGTATATCGTTTGAAAGCTGGCTGAAATGTCTAGCGATTATGCTACACAATAATTAATACAACAGCCCACCCAGGTAATATTTTCAAACCGAAAACACATTTCAGAATTTAGATGAACGGTTAACGGGAAAGTAGACCCTTATTGTCTCTGATTATGGACCCGCGACCGATTTCGAAACGTCAAACGAAAAATTCTGGTCCAAGAGATTAAATCTGCTTCTTTTAAGATCTGAAAATCTCAGGCCCGCAGTGGTAGATGATTAGCGCTGTGTAATCAATTAAACAAACACCAGTAATAGATAACCTTGCGGTTTATTTAGAAATCGATTGTCGACGCTAGATTAAAGTTCTTGGTCCGAATTTTGTTCATTTCAGCAAATTTTCATTATTATTAGCGGAATACCGAACTTAAAATTAACACTTCTATACTAAGAAAGGAATTTTGACCGTACATGAGTTTGGCACTCCTTCGGTTTCGCCTAACTTATCTGTAAAATCATCGGCTCGTCTGGGTCCCTTTGTTTTTCCCATAATTTTAATGGCACATATTACGGATCCAACATGCCACGTTCGAAATTGATCTGAGCCTAATGTCCGCGGGACAAGCCTCATCGCTTTTTTTCAAAGAGTATGCCAACATCAGGGCTGAATTTGATTAATTTCACCAGAAGAGCCACGCCGAACTATGTGTGTCTCTACCTTGATGTAACGATGACTTATAGAAGTAGGTATAGTTCATAACAAGACCTCTAGCCTACTGCAATTACTCATTATGGAGAGCCATGTGCATCCCGTTAGATGAATTGAAAGCAGTCATAGATTTCAG